CTCTCTCTCTCTCTCTCTCTCTCTCTCTCTCTCTCTCTCTCTCTCTCTCTCTCTCTCTCTCTCTCGCTAAGTTTACAGTACAGATGCAAAAGAGAAAACAGACCTTGGAGAACTTGTCCATGCTTTTGGTCCCCTGTTTCTGGAGGGCAGCGTAGTTGCCATCGGGTAGGTCCTGACCGAGGGTGAGCACCATCACTCCCATCACAACGTGCATCATCCCCGGCACGAAGAACGCAATCCTCCACGCAATGAAAGGTGTCGCCCCCACCTTCCTAATAACATCATACAGCAGGGGCATGATCAGCTGGGTGGCACCGCCCCCCATGTTCCCCCACCCCGCCGCCGTCCCGTTCGCCAGCCCCACGATCTTGCTGTTGAACATGCTGCTCATCCAGAACTGACACGACACGAACGTCGCCAACGAGAAGCCGATCATGAATCGCACCACCACGTAGCCCTCTGCAGAGGAGATCAGCGACATGCAGAAGACGGTGGGCGCCGAGAGCATGAGGAGGAAGGCGCATCCGTAGCGTGGTCCAAGGAGGTCGCAAACGGCACCCATTGCGAGCCTGGAGAAGATGGAGCCAGAGACAGAGGCGATGCCTGCATTACCAATGTCCTGCTTGGTGAGGTTGAGGTTGTCGCGGATTATGGGGACGAGGGGGGCCGCAGCGAAGGTGGAGACGAAGCAGGTGAAGAAGGAGACCCATGAGAGATGGAAGGTGCGCATGTGGGGGTTGGCGAGGGAGAAGAGCTTGAAGACCTTGGCCTTGTGCTCTGAATCCACCGGAAGGGCGAACTTGGCGGTATGATCTGTCGCAACCATCGGCGATGCCACGCTCATCGCCAGCACCGGCTCCCGCCCCGTCACACCGTGCATGGACGTCCCGGGCGAGCTCTCTACGTCCACTCCCACTCCTGAAGCCATGGCAGCTGAGCGGCCTTCTTCCTTAGAGAGAGTTATAGAAAGAGAAAGTCTCTCAAATGAAGAGATACAAATATAGAGAGAGAGAGAAGACCTTGTCTCGCAGAGTAGATGAGAGATAGAGAGAGAATTGTAGAGGGAGAAAGAGGAAGATAGATGGTATAGATGAGAGAAAGAGGAAGATAGATGGTATAGATGAGATACTGTTAGTGTGAGTAGTTTATATAGAGACGGGAGTTGACATTTGGGGAAGCGATTATTCCTACGTGTGGAAAGGGGAAATGGTATCCAGTGCGCCGCTTCTCGTACAGGGGCAACCTGCAGCCCCACTGTATGTTCCAAAGGCTGTTGTTCTACAGTTAAATGGTCCCCTAACACCTTGGAATTGAATTGAGATTCTCATCAACCATAATAGAGAGAATAAGCTATTAAAAGAGCGAAATTTTTATATAGAGCCGAGGCTCTAAACAATCAAATTAGAGCCTAGCTAGAAAATTTTACTAAAAAACGGTTGTTTTGATGTCAAATATCCTCAAATGCATGAAAATAAGAAAAAAGTGGATTTCAAGTTTCGAAAATAGTGTATTTTATATCGTAGTTTTGGATCATCAATTTTACAAGATTTTCTAGTTTTCATAGATCTATCGGTCTACACTATTTTTTAAGCTTAAATTTTATAAATAAAGATAAAAATATATTTTAAGGCTATCATAAATATTTCCTGCATTGAAACTATATGCCTCAACACTATTTGGAGGTAGGCTCTAATTTGATTGTTTAGAGCCTAGGCTCTATACAAACGGCACCCAAAAAGTTATGAACATGTCCTATGCTCACATGGGAGCAAACTGTACACTAATTTCATTGAGTGAAAGAGGTTTTTTCTTTTTTTTTGGGTAAATATTGAGTGAAAGAGCTACTTGAAAGAATTCTTTGGATGGATCTGAACTTTTTAATCTATTTAAATATCGCCAGATGATTATGTTCAAAATGAAATTTTAGATTTTAGTTCTTCAATATGTAGATCTCACTCTCTCTTTTCAATTATGAGAAGTTATTTTTTAAGCAAATACTGAGTGTAATTTCACGTTATCTCTTGTTGAAGTTAGTCACTTGGTCGAGGTTATATCCCGAAAAATAAAAATTTGAGATGCTAAAAACACTCTTAAATTGGATTTTACCCATTAATAACAGTATGCTCCCGCATGAGTGTAAAAGCTCTTGACATTTAATATTTAGCTGGACAGGAGGAGGAAAAACAGTGAAGGCCACCAGAAAATTAACAATGAAGCTGCCCCCTGTCACCTCTTGCAGGCGAAGTGGTAAGCTGGAAATTTAAAAATGCTAAGATTTGACTATCCTCCATCCCAATACATGTTTATGCACAAGCACAATCACCACTATTATTAAATTAATTATAACATTAGTCAAGGAGGGTGGTGACTATATGCCTGATTTAGCAAAAACAAACCCTCCTGGCTATCCTCAAAATGGAATTCTGCCCACAAGGCTCAAACAACATATGAGCAATATTTAAGATGGCTATTTCATATGAAAAATTATAGAAATAGACCATTTATTTGAAGTACAAGAAGGTCATTTTTGTCCTTCAGATTCAGTGTTTGCAAAATCGAACCGGAACGGTTAACCGGACATGGGGCTGCGAGTGGTTTGAACCGAAACCGGACTAAATGAGGCGGTTAACCGGACTAACTGTTTAACTAGATTTTTTAAAAAAAATTGGGTCCAAATCAATCAAAAAAATAAAGAAATATAGAACTTAGATTAAGTGTATAATATCTTACTACATATATTTATCTTTAAAAAAAAATTGAAACAACTTTTTATAAATTAATACCTGAATACTATGATCCTGTACATGAAAATATCTTAAGATATTTTTTTAAAATATTTTTGTCGTATAATATATTCTTCCAAGAACTAATATATTCATCCCAAATCTTACATTGAAAACTTTCTAATTTTTTTTGTACAAAAATCGCTCACATTAGAAATGAACGTTTATGCATTTTTTTGCAAATAATAAAAGTAGCTTGATGCTATTAAATGAAATAAAAATGCCAACTAATTAAGACAAGAAATGTAAAAGAACTCTTCCATATAGTTAGATAAAACATAATTCATACAATACTTTTTTGATGAAGTTAAATAAGGTATACTTCACAAAAAGTATATCTCATGATGTGCAACAAAAAGAAAAATCAATACATTGCATACTGATATGTTCTACTGTTCTTATATGTTCTTATATATATCTACCATATCCATATCAGTGTGTTGTGTATAGATTTTATCAAAAAATAAGAGCAATAGAACAAATAATTTGATCAAAAAATAATTTTATTAAGCAAAATAGAAAACACTTCCCATATTTATCATAAAACATAATTTTATTTTAAAAAACCATAATTTTATCAAAAAATAATTTTACTAAGCAAAATGGAAAACATTTCCCATATTCATCATAAAACATAATTTTATTAAAAACCCATGATTTTATCAAAAAAAATAATTTTGTAAAGAAAAATAGAAAAACAATTCCCATATGTATCAAAAAATATAATTTTAGACGAAAGATAATTTTATTAAGTAATATAGAAAAAAAACTTCCCATGTTCATCAAAAAATATAATTTTACTAAGCAAAATGAATTTTTTTTACAACAATTAATTTAGTAAAATGAATAATTTTATCAAGCAAAATCGAAAAACACTTCCCATATTCATAAAAAATGTAATTTTATTAAAAAATCATAATTCTACTAAAAATAATTTTATTAAGTAAAATAGAAAAGCACTTCCCATATTCATCAAAAAACAAAATTTTATTAAAAAATCATAATATTTAAGAAAAATAGCAAAACCCTTCCCATATTCATCAAGAAACATAATTTTATTATAAAAAATATTTTTTTGAGAAAAATGGATTTTCAAAAACCCCAAAAATCAAGCATCATTTCGAGCAAGAAACGACCCTCAACGTTTGGATAATCGAACAAATAAATATCCATGCATTGTGAAGGCTTGGATCATCTTTCAAACGCACTAAATATCATAAAAAAATATTTGGTATTTTTATTTTAATTGAAAAAAAAGGAAATTTCAGATATATGAAATTTTCATGATATGGTGCAACGAAAAAATTCATATAAAAAATTTCACTCAATCATAAATAAACTTACCAATTTTATTTGAGATATGAAGCCTCAATCATCGAAATCCACAATTCAATTTGATAAAAAACAACCAATAAATGGACAAAAAATATGCGTTTTGGGTAGAACACAGTTTTTCTGAGCATCAACTTTTCGAGCAAAAATAAACCCTTGAATTTTTGTTTTCTGAACAAATTAAAACTTGAATCTAGTAAATACTTCGAATAGCAATCAAACTCCTTAAATTTCTTCATGAACCATTAAGTATTGAGGAGATTATTGAAAGAATGGAGAAAATTTTCAAAAGCCTAAAAAGTTATGTCCTTTCAATCTAAGAAACTCTTTTTTTTTAATGTTTAAATCCAAATTACTTGTTTTATATTCCATTAAAACACGAAAAAAACCAAAAAATAGCCGCAAAATTGGATTCGTAGTTTTCCTGCTACATATAACGGTCCCTATTTCAAAATAACGCCGTTATTTATATATAACCGCTATTTACATAAAAATGCCGTTATATCATCAAACCAGTCCGGTTAGCTGAAAACCGGCTGATTCGATGCCTAACCTGCCAGTTTTAGACCCGAAATTGTTTTGAGACATGGGTTAAACTACTGGTACTACAAAATTGAACCTAACCAGACTCGGAACCTAATGGTTTTGAACTAACCGTCCAGTTCGAGTTCAAACCAGCCGATTTTACGATCCCTAGTTGATACTACCGCCAAGGATCCACCATATTCTCGAAGATAAGTCGGTGGGGATTTTGGACCTTCTCTTGACTTATAGCCAACACGCCTTCGAAGGGGTCTATTGTAATATAGTTTTTCTTTTTTAATAAAACGAGTAAGGGCCCTAACGCTGCTCTGATTTAACCCTAAAAAAAAGAGACACTTGTTCCGATTCAACTCGGCTTTTGTGGCTCTCGAGCTCTTAATCGCTGATATGTAGAGCATCACTGAAGTTGACTAGCGTTATGACCAGACCAGTGAATAAGGATATTCCAAGATTTTGATTTAGGATTAGTTCCCAAGGAACTGTTTGTGTGAATTAATCTCGACCATTTTGGGGTCTAATTCACTCCAAACATCTGTGCAACAATTTATGCGAAGGACAAAAGTTTTCATTAAAACTCCAGAGTGAATTCTTTGACATAGATCTTCATCAAAAAATCATTTTGAGAGTTCCAATATCTTCTCAACCATCGTGATCTTGTTTCTATAAGGTTGTAACCTTAAACAATCCAATTAACACACCTCCAAATTTTATCATAATTTTGGTATAGAAAATTCTGAGGATTATCTCAAAATCTATTTTAATATCTAATTATAAAATTTTAAACTCCAAAAATAGTTAAAATTAAGTAGATCTATAAACATATGAAAATCTTGAAAATGGATGTCTAGATAATGTGTTACAAGCTGCACTATTTTTTGGACTCAAAATCTTTTTTTTATATATATTCATACATCTTGTTGTCGAGATGATCAATTAGAAAGTTTTTCAATATTAAAACAAACTTTTGTGATGGATTTTTGAGAGGCATATATAATTCTACATTTTAAGGTTGAAACCTTATATAAACTTTTTCCTAAGAAAAATGATTTCCTACCTTAAATATTGGCCCATCTTTCTCTTATTAAAAATGTGTAAAATTTTGGCCTAAAGAATCCCTGTAGCTCTACAATCATCGAATATTTAAAAGGTATATTGTCATTTTAACAAAAAAATAAAGGATGCTATTTCTGTCATTTAAAAAATAATAACTTACATTATTCATTTATTAATATTATTCTATTATGAAAATAAAACATTTGTTTTCACGGTCAGTAATCTGTTATATGACAACCACTCTAATTAAAAGGAAAATTTGTCAAAATACATTTAAGATAATAATTACTTAATATTTTACCCATACGTTTTGATTTATCACGGTCATTAATATGTTATACGACAAGCATTCTAATGTAAAGGGAAATTTATCAAAATACATTTAAGATAATAACTATTTAAGATTTTACCCATATTTTGTATTTAATTTTGTGAGTCCCATCAAAATGCACATGATTTTGACATGGAATAGTAGAAAAAACGTAAGAGGCGAAAAATGAGGTGTACTTTGATAAATTTCGCAAACTAAACAAGTATATGGAAACTTTTCATTGAAGGTCACATAGTTAGCGTTACATTGGCTGTTATAATAATTATAACAACTATTTCAATTTTTTTGTTTTTTTTTTTGAGTAATTTAGTGGAGAAGACAAGCTCCTATCCATTTTTAAAAATAGTTAAGGAGTTAATTTTTTTTAAAGTGTTTATGAGGTGGTGTCAATGGAAATGAAAACTACAACATGGTGACTAGGATGTAAATGTGCTACCACCGCAACGCCAGCCCCTTTCTCAACTCTTTTAAACCTTGCTTAAGCAAGTAATGCACATGCATTATTATTATTTTTTCTTTTTTTTCTTTTTTTTTTTTAATTTTAACCCGGAGCACATGCATTAGTATCAAGGCAAGTTTTTAGTCTATTATAATGGGTGGCCCACCTTGGTTTCTTTAGGTATAACCAATGAACAATACTGCCATGCTAAGGCATTTGCCCCATCCCCTTCTTTTGTCTTCCTTAAGGATCATGTAGCTGTTTTTCTTAAACTTCTAAGCATAACGTTAAGGTCCTTATCATTATCATTACTATTAATATTCAATGGGATATCAACAATAAGCAACAACTCTGAGATATATTTACCAAGTTGCCATGGGTTTCGGATTACTTCTCAAGGAAATCCAAATTCCAAAGTGTCAAAATAGGTAATCCACATTGCCCTTTCACCAAGAAAAACAAAAAGACATCCATATCCTCTCATCTTAGTGATGAGAGATGCATCCTAGAACCGGAAAATATTTGGTGGCTTCCACCCCAAAAAATATACTATAAGATTATTTAATTTTAGTACAAAAAGGTCAAAAGCACCCCTTGGATATTTGATGTGAGATAGGTTGGTCAAGGGTGTCATTGATTGAGCTAAGGTTCTACAAAGAAAAAAAGAGCTTTATGACATACCTAAGCATCCCGATTTTATATGATTTTATATTGGGATCGTATATCATGAGACCGTTTACTTTTCATACAAGAAGGTCGCAATAATTTTTAGCCATTGGATGTGAAATCTAATGGAACGAAGTGTGTCACAAAATTCATAAAATTTTATTTTGGACATTGTATACAATCAATCACCTATCCTCAATTTCCCGATTTCACATCCAATGGTCAGTAATGATTGTGACATCCTTGTGTCATATAAGTGGTTGCCGAGATAAGCATGGCTTTGTTGGTGCAAAAAGAGAGTACAAACCCATGTTATTTGCAAATTGGTGAAATTGTTGAGGATATTTTAGGTAAATTTAAAACTACTACCTGCGTTTCAGTGGAATTCTTGATAATAATAAAACAAGTGGCACTTTGGTATTATTTTAAAAATTTGAGGGCGGATTTAGTGAAATTCTTGAGGATAGTTTAGGTAAAATTAAAAGTAATACATGAGTTTTAGTGGATTTTTGGATAATAATAAAACGAATGGCCCTTTGGTATTATTTTGAAAATTTGAGGGCGGTTTTAGTAACTCCCTTGGAGCCAAGAACTAGTTCCTGAGTTGCCATGGCTCTTTGTTGTCTTTTGTCCGTACAAAACTCCAAATCTTTGTTTGGAATTTTCAAAGAAGTTCTTTTGTTGATACAAAACCCCAAATCCTTTTTTGAAATCTTCAAAGGAGTTCTCTTAATCTCTCTCTCTCTCTCCTCTTTTGTAACGTCCAACTGCTATACATTTCAAATACAAAAATAAATCATAAAGTGGCAGCCATGAAGTTTCCCCGTTCTGCTGGAGAAGATCGGCACTTCTTCTTCGCAGTGGCCCTTGACCTTCACAAGGTACTCTTCTGATAAATATTGTTCGATTACTTTGAATTCTTCAATGGTTTGGGCTTGTTTTGTTCATTGGATGCTTCTTCTGTGGGGTATTTTTTTCCTTCCAATGGGGGATGACTTGGAGCAATCGACGTAATTGCTTTTGTTTTCTTGGTTTTCAAGGATCACAGGACTTGGGAAACTTTGATTTTACAAGATTTTATTACAAGGATTTTGGAAATACTTTATTACCAACTTTTTATTTTTGCTGGTTGTTTTGTAAATACTTAATTACTTATTTCATAACACACGAATTTCCAAACTTCATTATGGTGTCTAACATTTCACGGATCCCTTTACTTTTTCTTTTATGGGAAAGGTTCATATGCTTCCACTACAGCATAGAAGTTCTATCCTCCCTTTACCATCCAGCCGTCTAATTTTGATCAAGAGAGCCACTCACTGTTTGATCTTAGATCTGACATCTCAAAGTATTTTATTTTTAGTTTTTTTATATAAATTGTATGAATATGAGATTTGGTACCTTCCATCTTCTCATTGGGGTGTACCTACAAAAAATATTAAAAATAATTTTTTGATAAAATATAATGAGAAAATACCCCTTGAAAATTTTAAGGGTATTTTGATCATTTTATTTTATTGAAAATATTACTTTTATATTTTTTGCTAGTGCGAGTTTAATAGAGGAATGGACGTCTAAAATTTGGTGACAAAATAGTTTATAAAAAAAATTAAAAATAAAATAGTGTAGAGAAGTGAAATTGTAATTGGGGCAATCTTAGCCTTCCATTCAGAATGGACAGTTGGATAAGGGGGAAGATAGAACTTCTATACTGTAAGTGAAGCATAGAAAGCTTGCGCTTCTTTTATTGGGAAAACAATCATCATTGGGATCCTCAGATTTGTTGATAAATATTCGAAACCTTCCTTGCCTGTTTGATTCTAGAAGTTTATCACTGGATAGAGTTCTGATAAATAAATAACCATTTTTTTAAGAATTCTGAATAAAATCGGTTAGATTCGGTAAGGAAAGCCAGCTATAATTATCAATAGTTTATTTTATCAATTCTTATTTATGTTATTCTTTCCATCTCAACTTTAAACATTTACAAAATCATGCCCTTTTCTCATAGTCTACCCATTTATCGATTGTGTTGTCCTGTTGATTGAGAATGATCCATGATGAGGACCCTGGTTCTCTGCATCGTAATGCTTCTCTCAAAAACTCATTTATGAAGTCTTCTGACAAATACCATTACCCTTGAGTTTTTAGGTAGCAGATGCAGATCATTAATAGCGATTCATCTGATGTCTTTGCATAGAATTTGTTAAATTTACTTTTTCAACATTGTTCATTCATATATTTTGGGATTTTATGGTTACGTTGGAATGATCTCCAAATTGGTGCTATGCTTGATACAGGTGCCTTCATTCTATATATTGTTTTTGGAATAAATAAATATCTATTTCCTTTTTTGGGGGTAACTGGTAACTGTGCCAGTTGCCCATGTTCATTGAATGTTGCAAATTTGTAAACATGCATAGCGTTCTGTTCTTTGAATGGCTACATATTTGAAATCTAGGATGCCATGATGTGTTAACATATAGAATAGTTTAAGGATGGAAACATTGGTAACTGGCACCGTTACATGTAGAATCGGGGCTCTCTCCAATTTTTAAAATCTTTATCTGAGTCCTGAATTTCCATGTACTTGACATGAAATAGGACTTTTGCTTCTCTACTTCTACTTAGTAAGCATAGAAGCATGGTGAATAATTCCTTCTCTTTTTAGGGGAGGCTCTCACCTCATCTCTCTTTCGTCCTCATTGTGTAACTAACTTATAAATGCTAGCTAATTTCCATGATTATGGCATGTGCTCTCCCTACTCGTGTCTCATCCTACCTTGCAGGGACCTGTGTGTTTAACCCTATTATACGTTACCCCACCGCCCCCCCCTTCCTCTCTCTGTATATATAACTACAATAATTTATCTATCTAATTGAGTCTATATATAACTACAATAATTTATCTATCTAATTGAGTCATGAAATGCCAAACTTTACCTCCCAAGTCATTTGACTTGATCATTTAAGTATCAAGTCCACTGGCTTGATGGATTACCGTGGCAAATTTTGAGTCACAAGGTGGAATCATAGGCGAAACAAACTTGCCGCCTTATTTGACATATACTTACTTTGTATGTTTTTCGTGCTGAAATTTTACACATATTATTTAGGTTTTTGTCATGCAAACATTCTTGTTTGTAGGCACTCATGTGGAATTGGTTATGTGGCACAAGGGGACTCCTGCATTGCCGAATTTGATGACACAAATACCACTATGGCCCGTCGAAGTTCTCAAAAGAATCCATCGAAAGGTGAAAAATTAACAGGTCAATCTTCTTGTTCAGATGGCAACACAAGAAATTCAAGGAAAGAACGCTTGCGCTGGACTCAAGACTTGCGATCTTGTTTCGAGGAGGCAATTAATAAACTTGGTGGAGCTGATAGTAAGTGGGAATCAATATAGTTTGAAGCATATTAAATCCAATGGAGTATGTTATAGTAATCGAAAGGAGCATTCAGCATCTGCTCTTGATGAGAGATGGGAGATTAACTATTATGGGTTGTTCATTCAACTAAAATTGATTTCTATCATTTTTTTTTTTTTTTAGAAAAGCTGACTATAATTGTATTAATGTATACATTTTACATGATTGAACCAAAAGACTTGCTGATGTTTGGAGATGATATAAATTTTTGCATTTGAATCAATAGCATGCCACCATACATATTGGTTTTGAACATTTTGACCTCAAAATCTTTATAATGTTTAATGTGTTCAAGGAGCAACACCCAAAGGCATATTGAAGGCTATGTCTCTTCCAGGACTTACCATCTATCATGTCAAAAGCCACCTGCAGGTTTATAACCATGCCCTTTATCTGCTATAATAATAAATATTGTTGAGTAGATTTTCTTTCAAGCTGTTCTGATATTTCAGAATTTTCGAAGATCGATTTCATAATTGATTACAGCCCTACTTCTCTTCATAGTGTGGCTTGCTTTGATATGGTTTATGGTTTGTTTGTAGAAGTACAGAATTTATAAGTTCTTTCCTGATTCTCATGAGAGTAAGTTTTGAACTTTCAAACTGATTGTCATGTGTATTTCAACAAACACTTTAATGCTTCATTGTGCTTACAATTTTGTGATTCTTGACCTTTTGCTTTTCTAGGATCCAAAATTGAGCGTAGACGACTCTCAGATATTCTTCCCAATTTTGGTGTCGCATCGTGAGTGACATCCTATCATATTTCAATTCTATCTAGATGAGTCTCTTTCTTCATTTTTCAAGTAGCTAAGTTGACCTTGAGTTGTTCAATATGCATGAATATTTTTAATTTTAGTTTGTATAATATTTCTGTACAAATTTATCTATCAAAAGCATTTTACTTTTGATATATTAAACTTCAAGTCAAATAAAGTAAAATATTATAGCATTGAATAACAATAGGGTAAAATATTACAGTATCCAATGACATTTAGATATTTAAGGGTCAAGCATTTGAATTTTAAAATATTTAGGGAAAAACTTAAGTTCTTTATAATAGAAACAACTAAGATTATGAAATTCATGTCATGTTATGACTTCTCCAAGACACAATTCTGGCTTGATCCAAGGAGTTGAAACAACAAGAGGAACAAACTTGAAAGAGTCAGATGGTTATATTGACGTCAGATGATTATAGAAGCCTTCATTCTAACTATGAAGCATTTGAGATGAATGTCTTCGGTTTTCGAAATCACATGATGTGTTGGATTATTCAGTTGGAGAATTCTTGTGTATTTCTTCATAGCTGGAGTTCGAAAATAATCATTATGCATTTTGGCAGGCATATGGTTACTGTAAAAGCTTAATCTTTGGCCATAAACTAAGAAAATAAAAGGTTCATGACAAGGTGAATTGGATGCTGTCTTCTTTGAGCTTGTCATATAATTCAGAAAGTGACTCTATCTAATAGTTTTAAGGATTATCCTTAAGTCTTTTAGCATACCCAACAATTTTCTATCAAAATTCTTAAACCCAGGGGTGGGGGTTTATTGTTGTATTAATTTACTGTATATTAGGCACATATTTGTCAAAGTTGTATAAAACAGTTTGCTTCTCTCTATTGTTTTTCAATCAATGGCATTTTAGTCATAGTTATTATATAAAGATACATTTCACAGGCTCCTAATATTATGATGCTAAATTGCTAATAAATAATTCTCTCAGGTATTAGAGGTTCCATTTATGTCAACTTTCCCTTCTTGTTGTTCCATCCTTTTGTGGTTTTAAGACGATATTAAAAACTTTGTAGAGAATGGAATTTTATGAAAAATAGCTGAGATGCCCATCGTCCGCATATGGCAATTATAGTGAATGACAGTGGTTGTATCTCATTATAAGTAAGGATAATGGTTGAACTAATGAACAATGTTATGTTTCATTTCTATTCTGCCATAATAATAATAACAATAATGATGATGATGATGATGATGATGATGATGATGATGATAATTATGATTATGATGATGATGAAGACGATGATGATGATGATAGTTTTTATCTAGTATATTGTAAATCTTGCACTTTCTGCCTTCTTTCTTTCCATGAGACGCCAAGATCATTCACTAAGCACACTTCCTTCAATTCTTCCTAATCGAGTGGAAATGTTACATAGTTTGTTTGGTTGTCCGATTTCTTCTGAGGTTGACGCACATAGTTGTGAACTTTAAGTCCCCATTTGGGTGCACCAAATTTGAGCTATAGAGCCTTTTTTGCAGTCCACCCATTTAGGAGTGCAAAGCAACCCTCTTTGCTGGCTTCGGTGATGGACTTCTGGAATCCCTCATGTCAAAGAGACGCCAACAGAGAAGAACAAACAGTTCATAGTTATTTCACCCAAAGAGAGAAAAAAAAGAAGATGTTGTCCTTCATTAGCAAATAAAATTGTCAATTTAGTACTTGTTCGGCCATCCAAATGGGGTCACTGTTCACCCCCTTTCACTAGATGCATTAAGCTTACTCATGATTGGAGTTAGGAGCAACTCGAATACGAAAGGAATGGAAAAGATTATAGAATTTATCGTACCAACTCCACTCATAAGACAACTAGGCCTCGATGTTTTAAGCAAGAAATAAAATATATATATCCATGCTGATGAACCTCAGTCATCTTTCTAGAAGCCGAATCTATGCAGTATATACCATAATGGATTTTTGTTTGCTCATCCATGAATAAGGCTAGTGTCATCTTACCGAAAAAAGACTGAATTTGATTTAGGGAAAGCTCTTTATGATGATCTTAAATTAAAATTTTATTGCTTAAGATATGCCTCTCTCTTCTATTGCTTTCTTTCACTTGTAATTACAGTTGGACATATTTTTCATTTGTTAATGCCAAGTTATAAACCTTTCCAGTTTACTCATTCAATAATATGTTCTCATAAGTAGTTCTAGCTTATTGCCTACCATTACGTGCTGGAACATGTGTTGATCTATAGACGTTTTAACAAAGGAAACTTGCAGGCTTTGTCCTTACATGAGAGTTTAAGAATTCTATGAACTAAAACATCTCTTTCCAATAATTAAACATTATATTTCTCTATGTTTTTGTAGCATTAATTCTAGTTTCCCATATAAACCATATATTTACTTTACAGATGTGCACAAATTACTGAAGCCTTACAGTTGCAATTACAAGTGCGAAGGCAACTATATGGTCAACTGGAGGTGAGGCACATTTTTAGTTGACATTTCTAATTGGAACATTTTCAATGACATATTTCAATATCTTTTTTCCCTGCTCCTTTTGTTGTATTCGATGTTTATTTGTGACTTGAATGACATGTGCATATGGTTGCCTGAAATCTTTTCATCCATGCAGAAATAAAATGTGCTTTACGAGGAAATTACTCTCTGCATGGGTTGCTTGAGAGCGGTGCTCTTTTGAGGGTGTAATATTTGTCTCACATCTGATGTCTTGTGAAATAGTGGGATAACTAAAATAAGATCACTTTCTTCAAGTGAGAGTGACTGATTTCTCTCTTTCAAAGTTTCCTTTCAATGAGGGAATCATGGATATTTCTACTAATATTACAAAGACCATACCCTAAGAGTTTAGGTGTTAATTTTTTGATAGAAACATGCTAACTTCTGGTTCAGTTGATGTCAAAGTCAAAGATCCAAGAAAATAGGTTGAACAGGACAATTGATTGAACTATATTGATCAGATTATGGAATCAATCCCGGATTATTTTCTTCTCTTTTGATTATTGATTTTAGACTTTTCATGATTGTGATTCTTGTCTTGATTATGATGGTAGCCCAGTTCCCCTTTGAATTTTCTAAGCTAGTTCATTATCAGTGAAAATATTTTAGAGGAAGCCCATGTCCAATATGGGGGGCTCAAATTATCTAGTTGTCGTATCATCTATTGAGAAGTTTGAGAGATATTGGATCATCTTTTCATGCAATCATTGCCTTTTCACTTTGGGGTATTGCACTTTAATATAATCTATTAATACTTTTAGATTAATGGCAGCCTTAGTCTCCCATTCCTTCTATCCATTAGAGTGAAAAGGCAATAATCTATTAATACTTTTAGATCAATGGCAGCCTTAGTCTCCCATTCCTTCTATCCATTAGAGTGAAAAGGCAATAAAGTTTTCAGGAGTCCTCTTGGAGTGCATGAGTATTGAATGGGATTGGGGGTTAATTCCAGCTACAGTCCTGACTTTGTCCATCAAGTAACTAACTATAGTTTCTTTATGCTCGATTGCTTTAGCCTACCTCACCACACAAGCTTTATAGGACATAATGAATCAGGCATGGATATAAGTTGATAACCCTGTTAGAAGTTCATTTCTAACAAGTTTGTGTGGTATTGATACTAATCATGAAAGTACCTTTAACAAGTCGAACTACTTATTTTGCCGCACATCAAAGCATTTGAGAAAATTGATCATTTTTAACATCCCTATTCATCTTTATGATCATGAGTGAATTCTTAGCAGGTGTTGAACTTTATTTCTTCTACTCTGTTAGCAGATGAAAATAGAAAATACCAGTGATTTTCTGGTTGCTCATTATGCAGGAAATGAAAGCTACCAACTCCTCTTTGTCAATATTTTAAATTTATATTTAGAGACTGCAAATAGAAGCCTCAAATACCCATCTATCTTTCAGAAATAAATACTAAAAATGCTCATTTTCTCTACAGGGTCACAACCCATTAAGAATGAAACTTGATGCTCAAGGAAGCTACCTTGACAAGCTCACTTCCAAAAACAACATCGGGATTGATCATAAATTTCATGGAGCTTCTTCCCCAGAAGCATCATCATGTATTGTTGAAGTGTCTGGGATAAATGTAGATAAACTTCTCTCCGATTCAAAAGTCAATGAGAGTTCTCAACACCATTGGGTTCACAATAGGCTAAAACCACTTGACCCAATTTTGCAGCCCATGCCAATGGTTTCTAAGGACCACATGGAATATAACCAACTGAAGATTCTGCAACCTTTGGTCATCTCTAAAGAAGATCAATATTCAGACTCCAACAATGACAATGGGCTTTGGTGGTCTATTTTGGCAAGTGAGTCTCCTACTTCAGCTCAAGAATCTGCCAATAATGTTATAAACTCAAGGGAAAATGGATATTCTCAAAGCTTGCACCATAATCACCCAAGTCCAAATGAAAACTCTCAAGGTTTGCATCTTGAGCCACGAGGAGAGCCATCTCTTCATTACTTTGATATTTATTCAGAGGTCCATAGTTCTTTGATTAGGAATCCTGCTAGTTATATGGAGGGCCCAAGTCTAGAAGATTTTCGTGATACATCTGCCTTTCCATTGGGGAGAAATTTTCTTTATTATTTGGGTTAGATACCTAGTAGTTAGTACTTTACATTATGAATTTTGGGAGAGATTTTAGGAACCAATGTGATAATAAGTCCCAATGAAATATCCAAAAGAATTGACATGTTATATTAATGTGTATTTATATGCAATGTGATCACCTCTGGCTCAATAAGATATATTGCCTAATTGTTTGCCTCCACTAGCATTTATTGTTGATCATAGTCTGCTTGCTCAGTGTATCCAAACTCACCTTAGCCACATATGTTTGACAAAAAATTTAAAAAGGAAATTGGGTCAAGGGAAAGAAGAGGATTATGGAGCCATGCATGACCTTGATTGGTTACATTGTTGACAATTAGACCATAACATAACTTCTGAGCTATACAAAACCGAAGATTGAGAGGAGGGTATGGGAAATAAAAGCAAATAGAAGCCTGATTAAAATTGAATCAGAAAGAGTTTGGGAAATGGTATGCTCGCTCTTTTTTAATGTATTACAATTCACCACCCTTGAAAATTCAAAGGTCAATGTTAGAATGAGTTGTTATGATGGATTTACAAAGTATGTGGTTCCTCTTTTAAGGGGTTATTTTATGTGGTAGTTTGCTCATCAAGTATGGGTGTTATCGCTAAAAGGCAAATTATACTTTTGTTATTATATAAGGATAGGGTTGAAATTTATACTAAAAGACAAAGGAATTATACAAAAAACTTGCAATACATAATTTTCAAGATAACATAGTACTTCTATGAAAAAAAAAAACATTGTACTTTCGTAAAAATTTCAAAATTTTCATTATTTAATAAGAAAAATGTTTATATAAGGGTGAGGCCCTAAACAATCAAATTAAGGTGCACCTTAAAACTTCACTAAAAGATGTTGTGTCAATGCGTAAAAATCCTCAAATTGATCGTCTCGACCTTAAGATGTATGGACTTAAGAAAAAATGGATTTAAAGTCTTAGAAATAGTGTATCTTGTTTTCGTACCATCAATTTTCAAGACTTTCAAATGTTCATAGGTCTTCTTGATCTACACTATTTTTGAAGTTTTAAATTTCATAATTAGATATGAAAGTAAAATTTCAGGCAATCACAAAGACTTCTAGTATAAAAACAACATCTTTTTATACTATTTGAAGGTGTGGCTTACTTTGATTGTTTAGGGTCTCAGCCTTATACAAACTACACCCGTTTAATAGTTTTACTTGTAAAAATATTTATTTAAACAAAAAATAATTATGTTTTTAAGAAATACATATATCACAACCCCCTTCCAATGTTAACCCTTTCATTTATTTTTTTTTCTTTTTTTTTGGGTGGAGGGGAGAGGGATTGTTACCTCTAGATGAACCCATATATATATATATATATATATATAAATTTTCAAAAATTCCATAAATTTTCTACTTTTGGTCATAGGAGGCCATCGATAACCTCACCTAGAATCTTCTTCTGCTTGGTGTCTTCTTTCCTTTGAAAATTGGTAACGCTACAAAGTTCATGGTATTTCTTATCTAATGCAGAGATTCCATGGTAAAATATCAATTAAGTTCTAATAATGATTTGGCGGGGAAAGTTGAATCCCACTTTATTAGTCACGAGATAACAGTGCTTAGAGATAATGATAGATTTGAGTTTCCAGGAAGAACTATGTCGTATTGATTAATCTAAAGGTTTGTTAACAAAAACTATTGGCCTTTGTATTGATTTTAGTTTTTAAACAGATTTAAGACTTAATTATTTGGTGTATGGGTAGGTTCGGGCTTTGTATACGCACCTAGGGGTGGTAATGGGTCGGGTATGGGTAGGGTCCGGCTGGACCTAGATCTGGACACGGATAATATTCGGGTCCAAAATTTGGACCCGTACCTGGACCTGTCAAGTCCCCGGTCTACCCGTTGGGTCCCAAGTCCAATCTGATCCAATGCCACCCTATGACTATGAGTTTTTTTTTTTTACCATCATATAACCTATGACTATGAGCTTCTGCTTTTTATGCCAATAATATTGTAAATGTTGCCAATATTGTGACATTATAAACACCTAGCATGCGCCTAAAGCACATGACTACCATTATATACCCTATTATTATGGGTACAGTATGGATCGGGTCCAAACGTACTTAGACTTGGACCCGAATAGTATTCAGGTCCAAATTTAGACCTATAACCGGATCCGAGGTTAGGTATACCCATCAGATCCCCGATTTAGTCGAGTTCAATGCCACCCATGTGTGCCGACCAAAATATTTAATTAAAAAAAAAAACCGTAGGATACTTTCGTGATCCATATTACCAAAGAAAATTTTCCCTTCCATTTCTATCTTATCACTTACATGCCATAAATATTTGGTCGGTGCACGTACGATACTTGTCCCTATTGAACCGTCTTTTTCTTGTTTATTGCATGGGGAAAATAGACTGATCCATATTGACAAAGAATAGTCAAGCCAATTGATGGATGGTGTTGGAGTATTTTGCACCGTCCATCCATTGAGCAGACAGTGATTAAACGTAGAACATAGTTTTCTATGATCATATGGCTCATAGAACACTTGGCCATATGCACATGTTACACATCATGGAGCAATTGAGCATCCGCCTTCCACTGTCAACCATGATATGTGAAGATCAACTATAGCTCGCAATTATACAAGTGCAATCCGCATCATCCATCATTAACAATGAACCGCGGATGCCCAATGTACCCGGCATTTAAATGCATTGGGACCTGTATTTAAAAAAGCTGACGATCTAGATTGAAATTGGCAGATCCATATTGACACTGGCAGATTCAAATTGGGAACTGATATGACTAGTCGGGTTCTTACAAATTAGTCGGAACTGCGAATCAGCCAATTGTGGCATGTTCTTTGATAGTAGTACTAGTAAGAAAACCGTTCCCATCTTTTTTAAAAAAAAAAAATTTTGTTCTTGAATTATTTTTATTGGATGAGTTAGTTCTGGTCGGTTCCCTGATAGAATCATGCTCACTTTTTATTTTTTAATTTTTAATTTTTTTATTTTTTTTAAAAAAATAAACCAATTCACTAAGCCAAATCGTCAATCCAGACTGTCGGTCCACCAATCCGATTCAAACCAATTTCCGTGAGAGAAATTGAGAATCCCTTTTTTGAAAACTTTCACAAAGACATAATGAGTGTGAAGAGGGAATATAGTTTTAGTAGGACTCTCAAACGTTCACGTGCGTTCAATGTAAATGTAAGACTTTGCAAAGTTGAAGTTCCTCCTCTCACTCAAATTTCAAATCAAGTGGTTGTCAGTATACAGTGATTAAACGTAAGCTCTAAAAAAACAAAAGCTATATACCAATGATTAGACATAAGCTCTTAAAAAACAAAAGCTTGAACTTTGTAACGCATTCCAAACTGATACCTAATGGCTAATAATAATTGTGACGCCTTCATATCAAAGATAAATGATCTAAGAGTATACAATCCTATTTCATATACTTTCTACACTATTAAGAGAGAACTTGAACCACATTACCAAAATTCTCCATGTTGGATGTTCTCCTCATAATTCTTCTATTGAAAAGTGTTTCTAACCTAGTAGTCCAAAATACATTTTTTTTTCATTTATCGGCTTATCACTCAAGATATTTTTTTCAGCTATATTTATGACAAAAATACTATTATAAACAACTCCTACAAAAGTCAAAATAGACACTCATAAGTGTTCTCTTTTTTTTCTATTTTTTCTCTCTCTAAGCCTACTTTCATTCATGTTCATCTCTCTCACTAAAAACATAAGAAGTTCAATTAGTTTCTCTCCATCTCTCTCTAAAAATGTAAATAGGTTTGTAGGTCTTCTTCTCTCTGAAGCTCACTCTCTCTAAAAATATGAATAGATGGGTTGGTCTCTCTATAAAAACATAAATGGGTTTGTTGCTTTTTTTTTTTTTTTCTTTTTCATTTTTTGTCATAAATAAAGCTCAAAAATCCCTTAAGAGGTAAGTGCGAAAAAATAAATAAATAATTGATTAAAATTAAAATGGTGGGATAATAGATGAGAGAAACTTTTCAAGGGAGAATTATAAGGACAACATCCAACCTCAAAAAATTTTAATAATTTTCCCTGGAATTTTTACACTATTAAGAGAAGCCAAGCTCACTAGACTTCCGCTATGATTGGAACCCAAATTGTAGGGTTGGCGAAACTCCAATTTTCTTTTAAAAATAAAGTGTACGATTTCTTGGGGTCATACATATGCCACAAATAGAGATAATTTCCCTTTAATCTAATTATCCTTGGGTGTGGTTTATATAAGGTTGCAACCTTTTCTCTTTTTTTTTTTGACAAGGCTAAAATAAAGTTACAACATTAAACAATCAAATTAAGGCGCACCTCCAAATTTTATCATAAATATAAATTTTGTGTAAAAATATCTTAGGATGACTTGAGGATCTAGTTTCATCTCTAATTATGAAACCTTAAACTCAAAATGGTTCAAATCAAGTAGATCCATAAACACTTGAAAATCTTGAAAATGGATGGTCTAGATAATGTGTTATAAGATATACTATCTTTAAGATTCTAAATCTTTTTTTCTTTCCTTTTTCATATTAAAGGTGCACCTCAATCCTACATTTAAAGTTGCGACATTTATAAAATTTATTAGTTATTAACATTTTAACGTTGACATGGGTTGTAATAAAATTTATTAGTTATTAATTTTTTTCTTGACAAATTTTCCCTAATTAAGACAGGAGCCACGCGCGCGATACCATTTGTAGGTCCCACATCTTAAAAATTTTGATGGACGGCCAAGATTTTCCAATTGTTCTCAGATGGGAGATCCCACCACTTCTTCAGGCAACGGTTGAGAAACCAATGGTTCCAATCGACGGTCCCACAATCAACGATCACATCTACCTCCAAAGTCCTCCGAGCAACTTGTGCATGGCATGTGTATCGCACATAAGCTGCACCATCAATGGTTCATATTATACCTCGTTTCATGGAAGGGTTCGGAATCAAGAAAATGTCAATTATCTGCTCA